AGGTTCACTACTGCGTGACACGAAATCACCCACATGGCTGTGTTTGAGAGAAAGTGTTACACAATAGTGAACGATTGTTTTCTGTTGATGCCAGATGGTGGTGTTTCATTCTGGTGATATCTGTGTAAGGGAACGTTGATTACATGCTGAGCTGCCAGACTAGAAGCTCAGTTCACTACTGCGGGCATAAAAATTACCGATATGGCTGTGTTTGAGAGAGAGTGACACGCAGTAGCCAACCTTCCTTTTGAGTCCGTAGGATTGCAGTTGCTTCATTCTATATGTGGCCACACATGTGTAAGCCTCAGTTAAATCGTGACCTTCCCTGCAACAAACACGGTTCACCACTGCGTGACACAATTCTAGCAACATGTGAGCATGAGAGAGATAGTGGCATGCACAACCCAACCTTGCATTGAGGACAACCACGGTTGCTTTTTTTTTCTTCATAACATAGTCGCTCAAGGACCAAATACACAAAGATAACAATTAGAAGGCATTGTACATTTGTGTTTCATAAATAACAGACCATGTCTTGTTAAGTGACTGTTCGAAGCACACAGTTCAGTGTCTTCATCTCCCCGCTTCTCTCTCTCTCTCTCTCTCTCTCTCTCTCTCTCTCTCTCTCTCTTTCTCTCTCTCTCTCTCTCCGAACTATCCTGCTCTCTCTCTCTCCGAACTATCCTGCTCTCTCTCACAAGCATGCAATGACTGCGACGTTGGGTAATGAACCTTCTGATTCAAAGATTCCAAAATCAACCTCTGATGCACACTACTACGGCACCCGCCCCCCGCTGTTCAAGGTCTGGCGCACAGACCTTCTGTATCCCTCTCCTCGTCTCTGCTTCTCTCACGCTGAGGTGCAATGAACTCGAGGTCGAAATCATCATCCGTTATTGCGGTGGTAGGAGGCCCACTCCTGTGGACAGACGGCACACCAGCTTGAAACAGTGCAGCAGCCTTCTCAGCTACGGATACGGCACGATCCAGCTTGAAGATCGAAAAACTCATGACTGTATCGCGGCTACGAAGAGATAATACGATGTCTTGCTTTATAGAAACCAATTTTTCAATTTGCTCCGCTGCTTTGGTGGTCTTTGTTGTCTGCTCCATTTCGCATTGCATAACCATCTCCGCAAAAGCCAATTGCTGCAGTGTCACTCCAAGGTTGACGCCGTCCCTCCTCATCTGAAAAACCTTGGTGAGTGCCGTCTTGAAGGTAGGGGCGCCCCAAGGATTATTGCCGCTCCGTCTCCACGTTTTATTTTCCTTCATCTTTGCTCGCATCTTGTTGCGAGTGGGGAGCTGGTGATCTGTTTGCTGCGACCGCACAAGCGGGATCCCTTTTTCAGCCCAAAACCAATGTTTCAGTTGCCATGTTATTTCCGCACGCACGATCGTCATCATTCTGTTGCACTCCCCTATGACTGCTCAAATCCCGCACAACGCTACGTGTGAGCGCAGTCCTTCCTCCGCAATCTCCCCCACCAGTTTGGCCGTGGTTTGGAGCGATGTGAAAAATGAATCCTCTGTAGGGTACAGACTTGCGTCCTTTGCCGCGGAGAACGCAAAGGCTTTCACGACCGAGCGGAACAGCCTACCCCTCATTCTCTTTGTGAATGCGCCGAACTCTTTATTCACTTGATGTTGTCCTCCACTATTCGCGAACACTTTTGCTTGCGAGTTCGTGTCATCTGCTGGGAGACAGACATCACAACGCACATAACAATATTTTAGAACTCGGCAGTCCAGATACATTTTAGCACTAGCGACATTCGGCAGTCCATTTCAACTGCATGTTCATCAAAGTCAAATCCTTGCTTCAGCGATGTGCCTGAACTTTGCGAGTCTGAATGTAATCGTTTGGCAATGGCGGCAACTTCAGCGCACTTTGTTTACCTTTTCCAGCAGTATTAGCGTGCCTCACTATTTGTCTGCCAATGGAAAGCGTGTCGGCAGCGCTGCCCTCGTGCGTTGTGTTCCTCCCGGGGACCCTCGTGCATTGTGTTCCTCCCGGGGACGGGGAACTCGCTCTTCTAGATGCGCTTCTGTCGTCTTGGGCTGACCCATCGTCACTCTCTTCGTACGCGGTGCCGTCGTCACTCCCGCCGTCGTCGTCGTCAGCCTCGTCAGTGTCGCGAGGATGTCCGTGGGAGGTCTCACTGTCGTCGACCTCGTCCCTTGACGCGTTGTCATCCTCCCTGTCGAACTTTTCCGATGAGGGGTGGTCGTGTTCCTCCTCTGCTTCCTCTCGGGCTCCGCTATGCACATTATTCGACCCTCTCAGATCGATCATGTCCACCGTTGTGTCCTTTTTGTAGGAGATTCTCTTCTTTGTCCTGCGGTGCACCTTTGTGATTTGATCTTCCTGCGACCTCTTCTCGGGGGCCCTGGGCGGACGGTTATCGGCACCGCTGGCACGGCTCCGTGGGGCGGGAGTCGAAAGGGGGGACTCATTGCGTTCTTTCAGCTTTGAAAGAACGCGCTGACTTGATGGGACTGAAACTTTTGATCCGTGCTTTCGCCTGCTGGTGCGTTCCGTTTTCGCATTCTCAGATCCGCTTCTGCGATGCTCTCTCGAATTTTTTTTCTTTTCGGCCTTGGATTTCTTCCTCTCCTTGTCCTCCTTTCCCTCGGCCTTCAAAGACCTGCACAGATCCTCGTATTTTGGYCTTGGAGCCATTGCCCTGTTTTYCCCACATACATGAAAGTGGAAAAAGAACAACAACTGCGTCAGCAATGTTGTGTGTCGATCCATGCCTCTCTAAAGTGTCGGGGGGCCGCATTGAGAGAGAGAAAGAGAGAGAGAGAGAGAGAGAGAGAGGCGCAACCAATATCTTATTTCTAAAATTGCGACGTCATGCAAGTTAGCAACCTTTTTCAGCATCAAAATGATTGTATCTGTTTTGCTAGGCAGTTTGGGTTCGCGTACTTAAGGGAAAAATATATATATATATATATATACTTCAAGCAAAAAAAACTAATTGGGAAATACCCCTGTCCATCACCGGGAGAAGGTTGGCTACTGCGGGCCAATCACCTGGTCAAGCCACCGGTCTTTATGTAATAAATGCCCGCAGTAGGGAACTTTCCTCGCATTGTCGTCTCACGGCCTCGACGACAATTCAAGGCTTTCGATGTGTTGCTCTGTCTTCTCTCACCTGCCATCCTTGCTCGCTTTCTCTTACTTGCACCCTGTTATTTTGTATTCTGTGTTGCCCCGTCTCCCTTGTTGTGCGACGTCGTAAGTTTCTGTTCCTGTTCACACGTGTTGGTCAACAAGGAATGACAATGACGAATTGCTAAGTTTTTTAGCAAGAAATGGAATCGTTTTTACAGGATAGTTTGGAGAGAGAGAGAGAGAGAGAGAGAGAGAGAGAGAGAGAGAGAGAGAGAGAGAAAGAGAGAGAGAGAGGTTGGCTACTGCGTGCCAAACGTGAAAAGAATGTCATTGTTGACCACGTAAATGTCACGCAGTAGTGAACTTTTGGGGACACGGTTGTTTCGCATGTGGTTTTCACCGCTTCATAAACTCGGCCACATTTGACATGATATTTCTCTAAAAATGACAGAAAGAAAAAGACAAATGTCCTCTCTTGTTCCCCTGAATTTCTTATGAAACAACATGGCTATCCAGTGATGATTCCAGCTAGACAGACTTACAGAATTCGTCAGACTTCTGATGAAGGCCGTTACGATCTCTCTCTCTCTCTCTCTCTCTCTCTCTCTCTCTCTCTCTCTCTCTCTCTCTCTCTCAGCAAAGATAGAAACTTTGCAATTGTTTTTTCTACAATATGTACTTGTTCAAAAAAAAACAGTCCTTACGCTGTATTGCATGCTGCTTCGATCCCCATTGTGGTTTACAAAAGCGTGGAAGAATGTGAACGATGTCTACAATAGTGTCGGTTGATACGACGGTGCTGTGTTGATGCCCATTTAACTTCTCCCATTTCAATTTATTGCATCTCGTCACATGTTGCCGTTCACTGTCGACCTCCTTGTACCATTGCACAAATCTGCAACTCTGTTCCATAATTTCGCTGTTCATCGGTGCGGCCACGACAAAAAACATGGCTATTGATGCAAACCATGTGCATTCGTTTTCTGCTCTAATTGCAACGTCAGTGTGCACTGGTCTCCCATGAAACTGTGGCGACGCTCTTGCAGTTTGAACAAGTGTGCCCCTGTTTGTTCCGTCCTGTACGCAGACGATAGCCAGGTGTGTTCGTGTGCGTATAAGGAGGTCATCAGAAGGAGGTTGACAACCATTCTCCACCATGTAGGTCGTAAGCGCTGCTCGAAAATCATGTTTGAAAGGAAGCTCTTCAAGTATCTTACACGCACGGTTGTCAATGCCTTCTCCCTCCCGTATGTGGTCGTCATCGATGTCGAACCACCACAGTTGCAGGATTGCCGTATCGCGTAGTGCGAGGGTATTCATTCCCGTGGCCATGCAGTCTGTCACAGACGATCGGTTCTCGACCATTCTCTTCCTCCGTTTCCTCACGATCCCGGTCTCTTCTTGCAATGCCAACGACCGGCGTACGTGGTTCACCATCTGGGTTGAAGTTTTCCGCTTGTTTGATGACAGGTATTGCTGTTTGCAGAATTTCCTGTGGTGATGCTCCCAAACGTCTGTTTCGAAAGTGTCAGGAACACTGGATCGCTCAATACACGTTCTTAGATGCATCAGATCGTGCAACTTGGGGAGTTTCCATTCTGATGGTTGATATCTCCCCAATTTCGCTTTGATGGTCGTAATGAAGTCCGTGATCAAAGCGTCGCATTTATCGAGCGAAGCACGAGTGTGTGTTGTGCACCGAAACACTCGTACATACATTTCCATCAGTTTCACAAAACAAAGGGTGATGCCCTTGCCTATCGAGCGCGGGATAATATTACAAATAAGAAACACGCCCACTGTCATCACAGACCGGTTTTGTTTCGCCTCGAACCGACCCTCCCTCGAAAAAAAATCGCTGCCAGTGGCCACCGACAACACAAGTTGGGGGTGTGTTCGCGTGCATCTCTCACTAACGCTCTGCAACCTGGCATCTAGTTCCTTGAGGATCTCTGTTTGCGGTATGTTCGGGAACTTGTCAAACGCTGCCGTCCTGAATGCGTCAATCATGTGCAGGAATATGCCATGCTCGATTGTGTGCATACGGTCTGGCTGCAATGCCAGGTGGTCGTCTAGCTGAGGGTCGTCACCATTGGGGCCCCTGTAGAACCCCCAAAGACCGTTCTTTTGAACATGCCTATGCATGTTCAACTCCGACATTCGTCCTTCCGCTGCACGACGCACGTCGATGTCGTCGGATGTGAACACAACTGCTGTGAGGTGTGTTTCGAGCGTCTGTGATCTCTTGCAGTCCGTAAAATCGGCTAGGACATCAAAGTCGGTTTTGGACACGGTGCATGTTGGGCATACGCCAAACTTCACAGTCGCAAGCGCACATCGTTCTGGGTAGTCCTGTATATAGTTGAGGAGGAAAGGGTGGACAGTTATGTCCACGAATCGCGTTGTCGGTATCATTATTCCGTCATGAGATGCCTTCTTCGCAGACTGCAACACCACTGTAAGGGCCTTGTGCAAAATGACGGCCTTTTGCTTTCTGAATGCGGTGGACTGTTGACCCCATCCTTTGTCACGTGGAAGATGATGAAGCACAGGAAGATAGGCCTGCAGTGTGGCTTCGGATGCGTGGTCGGCTAGGGACATCATCAGAGGGTACGCCATCTGTTTTTGACAACCGTCCATGTGTGTCTTGTCAGAATAGAGCGACAGAGGGATAATATAACGTGGATTACCATTCCCGTCCACACCTTTGTTTGCTCGAATGATCGACTCGATGTGATAACTTAGCGCTCCGCTGCGCGGGCCAGATATACTGAGGTCCTCTGACGGCGGGGACACCTCTAGAGAAAACACCGTCTTGCATTTCTGTAATGCGATATTAAAAATCGACAGAAATGTGGTTCGCCAATAGCGGTGCCACAAGATAGCGTGCGCATCTCGTGGCCAGTCGTCGCTACGCAGATCCGACTCCTTCCATCCCGCAGCCTCTGCTAGACTGCCTGCCCATGTCAAACACTCTCGACTATTACAGTACGCAATGTCTGTCGTGCTGAATCTCGGGTCTTTGAGAAGTGACAAGAGAGCATCTATGTGACTCTGCGACATACCGACGCCGCCCCTGACAGAGAAAATCAGTGCCGCAAGCTTGCGAAAGCTGTCAAAAGACTCGGCAGGCGGCGGTTGCTGCTCTGGGAATGACCCGCCCTCCCCGTCTACGTTCTCGGGGGCTCCGATGTCCTCGCTCTCATCGCTCATGAGATTCACTGCACCTATGTTTGATGGCCCGCAGGCGTCAACAACACCTATCTCCTGCCCTTGTGCTCTTTCGTCCACCACAACCGGGCATGCCCTCGCACGATGTGAATTCAAAGTTCGTAAGGACATGAAAGGCCTGCCACAGTCGCATACCCATGGACCGCTGTCCATTTTCTATGCATGCGGTCTATTCCAAAGATAAACAGAATGGTGCGGACAGTGCTTTGATTAACATTTTTTACATTGGTTGAGGTCGTTCGAATTATAAGTTGCACAACATATTTTGTTATATTCTGTAAGTGTTAGCCTTCCTCTTCTGTGTGTGAGAGAGAGAACGATGGAGTCTTGAATGCCGTTTTAGGAACTGACTGTCTTCGTCACTGATCCCGATTGACAAAGATTAGCAGTCAGACGTGTGACACGATAATGTATATGCCACGACAGGTTCCATGGTCCTGTTGGAAAAGGCAACGACTTGCACAAGGTACACGATATGTGACATGACATTCATCACCACGTTTGTGCGGCTGGTTAAGTTTGCAACTATCCATCCATAACGTTTGTGAATGTGGTATGTGTTTTCTGCGTCTGCATCAAAATTATTGCACACCGGCACCTCAGCCGACCTCCGCAACCATTGCCAAAACATTTCACAACCTGCAAAATTTGAATTGACATCACAAAGAATGGAAATTTTTTTTCTTAATAAAAAACACAACATACACACATTGGTCATTATAGGGGGTGTGATGTGTCTCACGTGCTACAAAAGGCAACAAATTATGACATACATTGTAACAATCATCAAATGATTGAAATAAAGTTGCACCCAATGTCTGGACGCTATTGTGAACCGCATGTACTTGGAAAGGCAAATAACAGGCAGCATGACACAGAACCTGTAGACGGATGTACAGGTTGTACTATAGCTACAACTAGACATACGAGAGAGAGAGAGAGAGAGAGAGAGAGAGAGAGAGAGAGAGAGAGAGAGAGAGAGTGCGGGCCAGAACGACAACAAACAGCACCGGTGGATACTTACATGGCACACAGTAGTGAACCCGACCGTGGTTGAGGGATGTACAAGTTGAGGGTTGTTTGTACAACTACTCCATTGCTATATGCTATGCATGTCTGTCATCAGGTTGACTGCGAACTATGACGTCTCCTGTTGAGAGATGTCGTGGCCGAGCAGCAACTATGGCGTCTCCTGTTGACAAGCCGGGGTTCAATGTCTCTCCGCAAGCTATCGCCGTTGCGCCGTGTATGAGGCAACTGAGGTTGATTCCCCACATCAGTGACGTTGCTAGCACAACCTCTCTGTTCACCAGAACAAACCATCCCTTGCCAACACGTGACCACTTTTTCCCCTTGTTGCATGCTTGCATTATAGTGGTGACTGCGGCATACTGTAGAGCACCGTCAGGTGTTGCCCCCTTCATCACAACACGCAACACATTATGCAGATCGGGGAAAGCACGTGCCAACCTCAAAACTGCATGTGCCCAACCTTTTGAAATTTGTCCACCCGCCCCCTTTAAATCATAGTAAACATCATCTTCCTCGTCTGCCTTGTCGCTGCTGACATCGCTGCCGCTCACCTCCACGTCAGAAGACGATGCCTCCTCATCCTCTTCTTCATCTTCTTCTATATCTTCATTGTCTGTGTATATTGCAAGACAACTTGCCAAATCGGCGTCTTCGTATCCAACATCACACTGATCTCTCTCTATAGTGTTAGCATTGAAGATATCCGCAAGCAGTACCTCCTCTGTATCAGCTATCTGCATGGGAGGCACATCGACTGCCATATTGCTTATTGATTCTCCTGCTGCTGATGTCTCTCCGTTGTCTGGAATGATTGCTAAACTTGTTTCCCTGACGATCAACTTTCACCCTTCTTCTCTTTCTCTTTGTCTCTCAACATCGCAACTTGCAAGACTGAGCCGGTCCAAAATGCGTGACAATAAGTCCCCCCATAATGGTATGCCGGATATGAAGTCGTCTTCTCCTCTCGCTGGCACAAATTCGATCAGATCTTTACCCTGCAAATCAAACTCTGTCACTTCGTGCAACGCCTCGTGGATGACGTTCCTGTCCTCATCACTCTTTTTCATGAAATCGCAGAGCTGATCCAGCAGAACATATTCCACACCATCTGCAACAATTACAGGAACATCTTGAAAGTCCTATGGTGGTGTTTGTGTGATGTCCTTCATTCTAGACAACACCACATCACCACTTTTCAACTCGTCCTTGGACCCATCTACAAGCATGTCGGAGTTCTCCGCCACAGTGCCCAGCAACTTTTTGAAATTTGCAGGTGCATACGTTCCCCCTTTTTGGTGCATTGTCATGTCCACGTCTCCATCTTCGCGCATCCCTTCGTTGCACATCCACTGAATCACTCCTTTTAGACTATAAGGACTGTGTTCCACTTCGTTGTCCACACGTACATGTGGTGACTCTCTTAAGCGTTGCAAGAGCATTCGTGCCTTGACACAACCCTCGTCATTTGCCATGATTGTGGATCTCATATCCACACTGACTGCGACGTACCTCGACACCCTCTTCTTCAACAAAGAGAACTCGATGTCACCGTTGTAGTGGATGCCCTCCGCTGCATACTTCATTACCTCAGCAAGAGCCTTCTCCACCTGTGCTACCGACATCGACATGATGGTACAGTTTGTCTTTTGTCCTCTTCTCTCTGCCAGGCAAAACGCACAATGACGTCATCGACATGTGTGTGTGTGTGTGTGTGTGTGTGTGTGTGTGTTTGTATACATGGTCTGTGCATGGTCTCCTTGTCTGTGCCCAAGTTGGCTACTGCGTGCCATTCCAAGTCGCAAAGGTGGTGATTCCTCAGATTCTTGCACGCAGTAGCCAACTTCATTGCTGCATGCCAGAATGTGTGTTTGTTTGTGTGTGTGTGTATGTGTGTGTGTGTGTGTGTGTGTGTGTATGTGTGTGTGTGTGTGTGTGTGTGNTGTGTGTGTGTGTGTGTGTGTGTGTGTATGTGTGTGTGTGTGTGTGTGTGTGTGTGTGTGTGTGTGTGTGTATTAGTGTACATGTGCATTGATGTGTGTGTGTGTGTATGGTCTGTGAGTGTGTCTCCTTCACTGTGCCCAAGTTGGCTACTGCGTGCCATTATCCGTCGCGATGGTCGTGATTCCTCGATTCTGGCACGCAGTAGCCAACTTCATTGCTACATGCCAGAATGTGTGTTTGTGTGTGTGTGTGTGTGTATGCGTGTGTGTGTGTGTGTGTGTGTGTGTGGCAGACAGACAGACATACACACAGACAGACGTACAGAGAGACACACACACATACATATGGACAGACAGATAGACAGCATGGTTGACAGACAGACAGACACACACACCACACACGGACATATAGACAGACAAACAGACTGACAGACAGACAGACTGACAGACAGTTAGACTGACTAACTGACAGACACACACACCCCGAGTCAGACAGACAGACAAACATAAAGACAGACAGAAAAACAGACAGACAAACAGACAGACGAAGTTGGCTACTGGGTGCCATTCCCCTCGAAGAGAGATGTCATTCGCAAGTTTCTGGCACGTTGTAGCCGAATTCAAGGCTGCATGTGTGTGTGTGTGTGTGTGTGTGTGTGTGTGTGTGTGTGTGTGTGTGTGTGTGTGTGTGAGAGAGAGAGAGACAAATAGGCAGACAGACAGACAAATACACAGACAGACATACATACACATAGACGGACAGACTGGTAGATAGAGAAACAGACAGACAGACAGACGGACGGACAGACAGACATACACACACATGCACAGACAGACAGACAAACATACAGACAGACACACAGACAGACAGACAGGCAAACAGACAAACAGACAGAGCGACAGACTGTGAGACAGACAGACATACAGACACACATGTGCAGAGACAGACAAACAAACATACAGACAAACAGACAAACAGATAGACAGACAGGCAGACAGACAAACAGACGGCGGGGACAGACTGCCAAAAGACATGAAAAACAGACACACACATGCACAGACAGACAGACAAACAGACAGACAGACACACAGACAGACAGAGAGACAGACAGACAGACAGACAGACAAACATGTTGACAGACAGACAGACAGACAGACAGACAGACAGAGAGACAGACAGACAGACAGATAGGCAAACAGACAAACAGACAAACGAAGTTGGTTAGTGGGTGCCATTCCCCGTCCCAACGGTCATCATTCGTTGGTTTCTGGCACGCAGCCAACTTCAATGTTGCACGCCAGAATATGTGTGTGTGTGTGTGTGTGTGTGTGTGTGTGTGTGTGTGTGTGTGTGCGTGCGTGCGTGCGTGCGTGCGTGCGTGTGTGTGTTGCAGACAGACATACAGGCAGACAAACATATATAACATATGGAGCAGACGGACCACAAAACTTTATGTGTTGTCCATGTATATCTGTGACCTATGTGTATTTATTCCTGCGATAGAGGTTGGACAATGCAACGCAGTCCCACGTTCAGCCATTCGACATTATTATAGGTGTTCGTTGTTTAAATAAGAGAGGAGGAAGCAAAATTTGGAATCACCTTTTTATCTGTCTCTCCCCTCATTTTTATAGATTTCTCAATTGGATGAAACCAAGTATGTTTATGCATTGAAACCAAGAAAGGAAGAAGACGAAAAAAAAAAACCTCATCCTCTCTCTCTCTCTCATGTTTATACATTGAAACCAAGATACTTGAAGAAAGGAAGAACACAAAATGAAAAACGATAGACAGTTAAAGAAAGAAAGTAAGAAAGAAAAAAAGGAGAACAAGAAAGAAAGTAAGAAAGAAAAAAATGAAGAACCAATGGTGATATTCTATCTGGCGCTCGGCGCCCAGACTACAGATGGCAGATCCTATCTAGCCTAGACTACAATGCCGAATGATGACGACAACAGTTATCCCGAAGTACGGGCATACAGCGACCAATGTCGCACGCTTCCAACACCAAGTATGTCTCTCGCCTCACTCACAACCTCGTTCCCCAACACACAGATGTCACTTGCACCCAAGGACCACCCTACGCCACACCCATCTTACAGCAACGCAGCTCGGCTATGGCTGCCTTGCAGCGGGCCTTCATCTGCCCTGGCCTATTTGGCTATTTGCCCAGTTCGGCCTGTGGGACCAGGCCGTGGTCTGACCCCACAGGCCGTGTGTTGTTCTAGTCCTGCCCGGTACCACTGTCGATACCAGACCAGGCCAGTCCAGTCCAGTCAGTCAGTCCGCTGGGGGTAAACCCCAACAGTTGTCTGTCTTTCCTCATTCTTCACTTTTGCAGATCTTGGAGTACGTGCGTGTGGAGTCTGCGTCGGAGCTGCGCTGTCCCTTCCAGCTCCATCTCTACCTCCTCCTTCGTCCACCCTTCTTCTCCACCCTGTCGGACCGTCATCCCGGCGGGTCCGGTACACTGGTATCAGAGCAGGCTTCCTCCCTGCTCCTCTCCCCCACCCACCCCACCTATCAGTTGCCATGCAGCTTGAGTAAAAAAAAAAAAAAAAAAAAAAAAAAAAACGCTCGCCACTTTTATTTGGTAATGATACCGGTGCACTCTTTCGATCGTTACTTCTGCACCGGTGGTCCAAATTTATTGTTCTTTAGCTTCTTCGAAAGCTCTCGATGAGCCGCTTGCCACAAGCTATAGATCGCATAATTCTGTGGGGTGGTTGAGGAGCTACAATCTTTCAAAGATCGCAATTTTTTTAAAAGCTCCAAAAAAACCACCCGTGCTCGTTTTTTCAACGAGCGCTATTACTCTAGGCAGTGGCTGATGCTGCACCTTATCTCGTTGGAAGCGGATTTCAAAACGCTTTCCAACAAGGCCTCTTTTGCCAAATTTCACCCAGCGGGTGAAAAATAATTGGCAAAAGACTTTTTGTCCTCTACATCTCCTCTCTTGACCCGTGGCCATCTCCAAAAGTGCCACGTGGCAGTTTGCTGAGGATTTTTTTGAAGACCCCCATGGCTAGGGGGCTGCACTACAGTGGAACTGTGTAGCTGATCACGATCTCAGCCAACCCCAGACAATGTGCAACAACAGTTCATCACCACCTTGAAGACCCGTTCTCCCAAGGGATGTGTGAAGGCCAAGATCTTGTGGATCTTGGTGAAGTTGTATGCTATTGGTTACCCTAGAGCTAGGTATCACCTCTCTCATCCCTAATCCACTCTCCCACTCCCTTTTCCCTCTCTCCCCTTTATCATCTGACCTTCTTTTTCTCTCACCACCACTCATCCATCACCTTTTCTCACTCCTCTCTCCACTTTTCTCATTTCTCTCCTCTTCTCCCCACTAATCTCTCATCCCCTTCACTCTTTCTCCATCCACTACCATATTTTTACTCTCTCCTCTCCCAACCTCACTCTCCTTGCTTCTTTTCCCTACTTCTCTCCTCTCCTTCCCCTTAATCTCTCATACCCTTCCCTCTTCACTCATCTCCCATCATTTTTTTCTCTCCTCTCTCTCCTCCTGTCTTCCCCCAACTACAACCCCATCATCTCCCTCACCTACCACTTCAATCTTTTCTCTTTTCCACCTATTTTTCTCTCTTTTTCATCGCTTTTTCATCTCCCCCATCCCCCACCTTACCTTTTTCTTTCTCTTCTCACTTCTTTCCCTCTTTCTTCATCACTTTTCCATCCCTCCCCACACCCAACTCCGAATTTTTCCGTTTTTCCTTTTTTTCTCTTTCTCTTTGATGTAAAATTTTCTTTTCCTCTAAAAATCTGAATTATTTTATTCCCTACCTCTTTTTTTATTTTTTGATTTATTTTTTGATTTATTTTATTTATTCTGATAATTTGAAATTCTCTGCGGCACCTCTATATCTTGCTAGGACTTAGTCTTTCTTTGTTGTCGACGCACATTTTGTCCCCTTGGGGATAACAAAGTGCTACCGAAATTTCCCGTTTTCTGCATACTTCGTCTTTTTCAGCACATCTTGACCCTTTGGGGGTAAGTGCTGGCAAAATCTTCTTATTTTACTTAGTCTTTTTCTTGACGGCACACTTCGACCCCATGGGGGTAACGAAATGCTCCCGAAATTTTTGAAAAAAAAATCAAAAACTTAGCTTCTCTTCACTCTCCTCCACCTCCTTATTTATTTATTTATTTCTATTTATTCATTTAATTTATTTTTACCTCAAAATTTTATTGTTTATTCTATTTTTTCTCCCCCTCCCCTTCATATTATATTTTTTTTCTTGATTAGGTCGCCGCTACCCTCCCCTAACCACCTAAACTTCGGTTAGAGTTTTCTTAGTTTTTTTTAGGGTTTAGGGTTCTCCTAACTCCCGCCCCCCTTCCTACTCTCCCGCCTCCTCTCGTCGGGCACCCTGGACCTGGACGGCTCCTCCGCCCTCGAGCGGTTCGGCGCCTTCGTCTCACACACGACCCGCAAAATCCAAGGCGAGCCGACTCACACATACTCACTCCGCTCCCGCGGTCCCCTTCCTCTTACCGGTGGGCCCCTTTCCCCACACACTCCTTTGAGGACTACCTCCATTCCCCTTCCGACCATGGAAGGGAGTTCATTCGAGGAGATAGCCACGGCGCAGTCCACACCCCAGGTCAGCGCGCCGTCAGCGGCTCATGATCAGGCCCATGCGGACACCATGGACCTTCATGCCGTCCTTATAGCAATCCAGACACAACTTAGTATGCTTGGACCGTTGCAAGCGCAAATCAATGCGCTATCCCTATCCGTCAACCGCCTCAAGAGCTCCCCTCATCGCTCTCCCCACCGCTCTCACACCCCTT